TATATTTAAAACTTACTGCATCGATTTACAGAGTTGCAAAAGCTAGGCTGTTGAAATTCGGCTGCACCATTTCAGGCCATTTAAAGACTGAGAACTTTGAAATTAATCCTTTTTCTCTCCATTTCGCCTCGATACTACTTATGCTAAAACAGTCGTAGCATACTGTGCGATCTTTTCGTGTTCTCTGGGTTATTTAGCAATTAATTTTATTAGGGGCGCGAGGCCTGGCTAGCTGCAAAATGAAAGAGGATGTCGTACTGCTTTTCTGAGCGATAGGAGCTAAATTTGGCCTGAAACTGTGGAAAATGGACGAATAGAAACATCTTTCAGCTGTGCTTATGTTTATACTTTATTGTGCTTGGAAACCAAGAAAAGAAGCAGATTTGAGCGACTTCTGGGCCGCAGTAGAAATCAACGATCACTTTACGATGAAATTTTTGGATAAATCTTTCAATGTATCGCTTGTCATGCTGCCCAGTGTCAAATTATGTAAAAGTTAGTGCCGCTAAGCTTCCTTGACAATTCCAGAGTTTTCTCACGTTCACATTTTTGGTGCATACACAACTGCATGTCTAGACACGTTTTGGTTCCTCGAATCTTTTGAACATTTGCAACATTTTCAAGAATCTGGAATCTAAGTCCCTTATGACAGCACAAATCATTGCTACTCGCTTCGTGAACTTTAAAAACTTCTGTTTGTTGATGCTAAATTAGCATATAGCTCATTCACCCAATCTGGCTATCCCAATTGCTGCTCAATTTTACCAGTTTAGAATATCTCACAACTCCACCAATTGCTAACTTTGTTTTATAATCATATTAATACAGTTTGCTGAATTTTTCTGTCCCTGCAGTACCTATCAGACTTGCTTATTACCTAGTTACCCAACTTTGTCATCGTTCAGTTACCTAACCTTATCGATCTGCTCTCGTTCCTTTCATTTTAATTACATTATTGCTTTTTTAGGACATACGGTGACACATCTGGTAATTGTGCCTTCGAGGACCGCATCGTTCGCAATTCGTGACGCCATCCGGGATACTTGGGCAAACCAAAGCAATGCAGCAGCATTAAGAGTCTGTAAATCCCGAATATTCGTTTGTCAGAGTTATTCAATTGGCTTGAGTAGTTCTTAATTTTATTGTAGTAGAGACAAGTTTAGCTCGATTCAGATACATTGATGACAGTTAAAATTCATAGCAGTCCCTTGTTCTCTGTTTGCCATTTGTTAAAGGAGCGAGTTCAGATCCTTTTCAAACTTTGTTAGAGCATGTCTTTGCAAATATTTATGTTCTTGTTTTCGAGAAGACAAGCAAAAGTTTAAGAAAAGTGTCAGATGCAGATAGTACCTTTCAATTTTATTCAAAAAACGCATCTGCGAATCGTTCTTCCCCCCTTTTTTTAAAGGCGATTTTTGAATTATCAACTGCCGGCTGATTCGATTCTGGCTTCCTTTCAGGTTGGAAGAGTTGTTGTATATTTCTTGGTTAGCATACAGCAAGATGAAGCCATAATGAGGCAAATTGTGAATGAGAGCGTAGAATACAACGATCTGATTGTCACATCAATTGATGAAAACTACTACAATCTTACTTTAAAGGTTAAACACTTAAGTGCGCATTGTGGCTCTGGCGTTTTTAAAAGCTAGCTTTTGATAACTTACTCTGGCCCTACAGTTTACTGCGTATTTGCCTGAACTGTTCCTGTTTGTTACAGTTAGCTTGAACCGTTTTGCTATTATATATTACAGTGCTTAAAAATGCATTCTCTAAGAGCCTGTGCTTTAAGTGAATAAAATTATGAAATATATGCTTCACTAAAATTATGAAATATATCAGAGGCTTAACAGTAGTGGGTGATGGGAGTGACTCGATTATAGGCAAATAGTGCCTGGTAGGCCTGTCGAAAAATCCTTTTTCCTAGGGATATCTGAAAAATGAGTTCAAGAAGACCTTGTACATCCTTATGCATACCGACATCTATCCACGAGAATGTTTTCTTAGATTACTGTGAGACTAATGCATTAGTGACAAACTCTGAATACACAAAAGTTGTCGATAGTGTATCACATCGTAAAGCCTTCTGAGAAACAATGTTAGATGGAGTTATGTGCGACAAAGACATTATTATTCATGATATACATACATATTAAAAAATATGAATTATTTTAAAAAACTGAACGAACAGGAATGTATTGGCTGATCAAGACGTAGACATTCCTGTTCAGCAGCACAACTGGACTTCGTCAATACGACGGTTGTAGTGTTGGTAAAATAAATGCGTGGATAATACACAAATTGTTTTCGCTGAGAAATATTCATTTTCGAATGAAGTAAGATGCCTAAAGTACGTGCAGGAAGATCGAGATGAATGTGGTATGTAAAAAAATTATTCAGGTTTATGCAGCGATGTATTTCAAACGTTCTCATT